ACGAATGCGTGTTCGAAAAGTATGTGCTTGAATGCCATAAACATTACAAGTATTCTTCATCGGCGAATCTCTTGAACATTTTGGATTCTGTATTTTTTTTTCTCTCTCTTCCTTTTTGTTGAAAAAGAAAATTGTTCGGAATTACTTAACATGCACCGTATGGAAGGCGGAAAATGGTATTCTCAGATCACACAAACTACCGGGTGTTTTTTATAAGTGTCTCACAAAATTTTCAAATTCGGATCAGATTTTTGAAAATCAAAATTCACACCCTCCCGTAGTGAGACAAAAAGAGAACACAATTTAACAAAAATAATGCAATTGTTTTCATACGAAATGTCTTTTATTTTCATTTGCTTCTTGACCATTTCAATTGTTTACTCGAATTACGAAATGAATGTGTGTACTCGTATCGCACGTGCACTAGTGTGTGTGTTCGCAATTCAAAATAGCAACATATACAAAAGAATCACTGATTTTAATTGCAACATTATGTGTATTGAGCTATGAGATAATGATAAACTAATATTGTCTTCCATATCAGTGTGCAGCACAAAAACTCTCAAAACCAATTTAAAGCATTTAATTTCTATTCTGGCAGTGTGTCTGGATTGTTTATTTCTATCTATTCGCTTATCTTGTACCATTATTGTTGTTGGGTTTTTATTTTTCTCGTCTCTTGCTTTTTTTGCACGCGCGTTCGCACACCCTTTCGATTATCTTCAATTGAAAAGATTGAACTATTCCAAAGTGTAGAGAGTTTTGCTTAGATTCATTTAGCGCGCGCACACACATACATTTACACACAATTTGTTGCTAGATAACTTCAAAATGAGCACAGAACGGAAAAAAATGCGCTCTCAATCATAAATTACAAAATCTCATCTCGGTTGGAGAAATGTGGACGAAGAAGAAGAAGTAGAAGAAGAAGAAAAATGATGAAGACCCAATTCTAATTAAATTCTGAGATTGAACGTTACGATTTTGGAGCAGTATTCTTCATCTGGCTGTTAGAGATGATATACAGAGCCAGCTAATGTTTTTAGCGTATATAAATTATCTGAATGGAAAATCAATTATTGCTTTGCAACAAACAATTTGCAAATGTTTGATTGTATATAAAATAATCAGGAGCCGACACTCCATTAGTATTTAGCTGTTTGTTGACAAAAGCCTCGGTCATCTCATCTTTTCGGTCGGATATGATCCGAAAACGAATGAATGCGTCAAACAGTAGCCAGTTGCGATTGACTGCACGTGTTTATATTACGTCAATGAGATAGATAGATGCATATTACAATTCAATGAAGAAGAATGGACATCATTGTTTAGCACATATTATGCTTTGCAAGTATTATCGAATTTGTACGAACAAAAGCATCTCATAAGCCTAACCATTTCAGCTCTCGTTCACTCGCACACACACTCACACACTTGCATACATACAACATGGGCATAACCGATTTGCAATTATATTACCATTGCACATTTAATGTACATGCAGATATTCTCTTTTCATTTATAAATTATCTGTGCGCCGCTTCATGTAATATTTGTTCATCAATACACATATTTTTCGTGGCTGTTGTCGATAATTCAATTGGTCTTCTATTTTATTTCTATTCACGCTGAATGAGCTCATTTTGTCGGGTTACGCTTTTTGTTGAATCTGCCGCTTCTGTTGCTGTTGCTGTTGTTGTTGTTATTATTTGTTCAAACGCTTATCGAATCGTTCATTTTCAATGTAATAATTTCGGTGTGTGTTGTTTCATTTCTTCAGTGTGCTCTCTTTTTGTTTCAATGAAGAAAACCATTTTTTTTTTTTTTTGTTTGGTTTTGTTTCATTTCTCTCGTTCATTTTACGGCCATTACAATCATTGAGTCCATCATGGTATAGTATAAAATAATGTGTGTGGAAATGTTACGAGAAAGATATGAGCACAACGATGACGATGACGATGAAAAAAAAATTACTGCCATAGCCTATACTATAACTATCATATTACCGCGAGCTGTTATTATCAAACTTAAATAATAAATATATTTATTAGTTCATACCGTATTTACATGCATATGTACAAAGATTGGCCAGTGCATGGCTCAAACATATAGGCAAGAGTAAGAGAAAAAGATAACGAAAGCCTCCCGCTATAAATTGTACATTTTTGTGATATAATCAACCGTGGCGGTGGTTATTGATATCGGACGTGTGCGAAAGAGAGAGGGATTGAGAGGACGGGCGACTATGTGCAAACGACCGCGAGCCAATGTAAAACAAACCAAAGAAAAAAACAAGACCAAATAAAACGACTTCAAACCATAGATTTAATACAAGTTTTTTTTAATTCTGGAATAATTTAACATTATTATTATCGATGAACCTAATGACGATGTCCAATTTGGGATTCTTCATTTTCGATGAAATAATCAATTTTCTAATAGAATCACCTACTTTCGAGCACAAAACTATCAACAAGAAGCTCAGCAATTTTCTTATCACATCAAGATATTCGGAAATTAAAATTTGATTGTGTTTTAACTCATTTTTTTTCACTGGTTGTCTGTCTCTCTTTTTTGTCTTCACCTGATTTCTGTTCGACATCGTTAATCACACGATTCTTGTCTTCTGAATTTAACGGTATTTTTTTTTTATTTATAAAAACCGATTATTATCCGATAAAATACAACATCCATGGGTGTTTTTCGGTATATAAAGTCTGTCCATCTTTGGTTCGTTTTTACATCAGCCAAACGGTACGATACATACATCGTCAATGGACCATTGACAATGGTTATGATCAATTGCAATGAAAAGCATTATCGTGAAAAATAAAATTTACTTAGAATCTCTTTGTCATTTAATGGATGAGCATGAATAAAACAACAAGCTTTTTTTTCGTTGGAATTGTTGAATCCACAGCATATGTACATTATATTCTATCATTATAGTGTTATCGAGACTTTGTGTGTGTATGTATGTGCTCGTGAGTATGTTTAAAATGCACATCAAATGTGAATTGCGAAGCTTCGCTTGCTAATGCGCCAACAAACTTGGCTTTTGTTCGGATACAATGGGATTAACTAAATAGATTATGTATGAATATTTACCATTGCCTGATCGATGGCTTTGTGGATAGTTCACATGAAACGAGGGAGTGAAACCGAGTGCATTGCATTTCAAATTTTCAATTGAATTGGCAACATTTCAAATGAATACACAACCGTTAGTATGATGATATTAGAATTTGTGGCATTGTTTATGTGCATACCACCCGACATTATTCATAAATGTTAGAAGCAGCAAAAAAAAAAAATCATCATACTTCGACACATTCAAAACAGCCAGAAAGAACATACCGCATTAACCATTAATCGAAATTCAAGTATTTGTACATATAAAACAACAAGAGGAACACCAGCAAACACGGACAACAGCAAGCCCACGATAATAAACAGAACTTGAACCATTGAAACAAATTCACAACGATACATACACCGTTGATACAGTTCATTTTTCAATATAAGTTTCTCTTGTTTTCTATCACCCGTTCGTTCGCTCACCAATATTTCCATTTATTCGCAGTAAATTGTTTGATAATAATAATAATTGCATTAGCATATGGTTTGTACTATCGGCCAACAACGATATGTATTGCGATCGCATCGACGGTGCTCTATCGTGTATATATTGGAATTGAGTCAATGTTGTTGTTGTTCTTATTTTTCTACGTTTTATTAATCTTTTTCTTCTTCTTTTTCTTGTTCATATCGTGCACTAACAGTACATCTATATGGCATTTGCTTGTGTGTGTGTGTTTTGTTGTTAAAACATTAGACCCACACAAGCTCATTCTACCCACATTACGGAGTGAATGCGCAAAAAGAGCGCACATTGCCCGTTCTAATGCGGGCTTATGAACTGTATGTATGTATTAGAATTAGAATTTCATACTGTACAACTATACTGTACTTGTTGTTTTGTTGTTGTTCTGTCGGTATTTTATCAATATGTGTATACGGTAAAATAAAAACACCGCTGTTGTACTATTTCATCGGATGAAGAGAAGCGAGCGAGCGCGCGCTCATTCGCTCGCGTTCCGCTATTAAAACGAAATCCATCCATGCAATGCCGAAATACATACGCTCTCGTTGAGTGTACAGCACACGATGCAGCCAGCAGCACATGTGTATGTTTTGTAGTCTTTAGTTATGTATAACACAATTTCATTGCGGTACGGGATATATGTGCGACGTTCGCATCGATTCGTGTTGGCAGTCTGAAGCAGCACTTACTTGATGCAGCCTTCTTGTATGAATAAATGAACTTATGTTTTGTTTGATTTGGTTGTTGGCTGTAGTGAGATGGGCTGGTGTATTTTCAATTCATGCAACCAAACGCTATGTATCCACAATGCGATTCATTCTCGTATAGCAAGCACAAACGAACACTGTTGCAGCGCCAACGCGGTTGTCGTAAGTTCGTTTGCCGCATTTGAACCAAAACCAAATACAGAATATCGGAATATGTATATCTTTAGATGGTGCTTACACACAGCTACTGAGATGCATTCGAATAAATATTTTTCATTCGAATTTCGTTCAGATAAAAAACAATTTAAAACTTTCTTTCATTGGTAAAAATATTTTCGCACAAAGAAAAAACAACATCAACAACAACATTATCATGGTAAAACGAAGTGTGCACGCACGCTAAAGATTTTGTATGCATTCTATATACGAATGCGAATACAGCAAACGCGCGCACAAGAGAAAAAGAATCATATCGTGAAGAAAACAACAACAACAATAATAATAACAACAATGAACGATGAAGCGAAGCACAGCTACGAAGTAGCAGCCACAGCGATGACGGCGACAACAACAACAACAACGGCGGCGGCGACTACGATGACGACAACGGCTCACAGCTACGAAAAGAGTAGTGGAAAATTGTGTATGCTATGGCTGTACTGTTGGAAACCACAGTCTTTAAACGAACATTGTGTCGATCACACCACATTAAATCACACACAAAAATACATTTTGATGAATGTACTATATAATTCCTATGCTCTTTCTCGGCTACCGAGTGAAGTGAACGGAAGAGCGAAAAGCCAACGATAAAAAGGAAAAATAGTGTGCAGTACACGTGCCGGGTGGATTTTTGTCATTTTTATAAATCATTTTTTTTTGTTTTTAAACACGAACAGAAGAAGAAGAGGGAAAACCACACAGATATTTGTTATAGTCTCTTCGACTGTTAATCGGCGAATATTTGTATTTATTGAATGACAATTTTGATTGATTCAAAGCCGGAATTAAGAATGAACATTGATTCTATCTAGAGATAAAGCGAAAATATAATAAACGGAAAATTGCCACATAGTGACATAAAACGCATTTGTGCAATCGAATCTGAGTTTCCGAATGCGTTTTCGGCACACATTGTTGTGTGTGGTGAGAAAATCGATTTTTGAATCGTAAAACGCACGATAGAACGAATCGAAACAAATTTTCGAAACAACGAACAATAGACGAGAAAGAGACGAAATTAAAATAAAAAGAAACGTTTGTCAACAAGACCCGACAATTGGTCAAGTGGATATTATACTTACAGAGAGCAGAAAGTGTCGTGCGAATGCACTTGATTTGTGTCAAAACATTGAGGTGGCTAGTGCGTAATTTACATTGAACAAATCGGAAATTAGATCAAACTAAAAGAGAGCCAAAGAGAATTATTTGTGTAGTTTTTTTTTAATTTTCATTCGTTAAGTTTTTGTTGTCTTTTGTATTTGATTTTCACATCGGCAAAAAAAAAAGAGAGAACTAAATGCATCTATACACAACTATGAGTGGTTATGACTGAAAAGATAAACTGTATATGACAAAACGAATAAAACTATGACTATGTAATGCACACACATTGAGTGTATGAATCAAATGTGTTTTGACTGCTCATTCGCGAATCGACAACGATTGTAAATAAGCTTGATAAATCGAACATGTGATTTTAGAATCGGTGGGGTGCGCGTACATTTTAAACGCATTTTGTTTCTCCTTTGTTCATTTATGGTTTTTTTTTTGATATAGTTGCTGTCGCAATTATCAATGGAGTTTTTCAAAGAATAAACAATTTGAGAAGTGAATTTTATATTTTGACGCAAGAAAATCTATATTATTGCATTTATTGATCCTGTTGCACATAGAATTTTGATGAGCATCAGTGCAAAAACTATAAAAAAACGATATTTTACACATAAAGATATAAAGATACCATAGCAAAACATAAGATTTAGAATGTTGTTGTCAAATCTAATCGAATACATCGTTCATTCACCATTTACATGTGCATAGACTATAGTAAATTGTGTACAAATGGACACGCGTCACAGAAATCGGTCGAAAGACATCGAGTGATTTTTTTTCTTTTCGCTTTACGTAAAACCGATATTTTTTTTTAAAGAAGCATACCAAAACTTAAACAAAAACAAAACAGCAAACCAAAATACATAAGTTAAGTGAGCCGAACCGAATCAGAAAAGATATTAAAAAAAATATTATGTGCACGCGTGTATCTCTTGGTCTACAATATATAAATAAGTGATTGTACAACAAACAAGAGTAATCATAATTACTGGTATCACCAAGCAGAAAAACGCGAATAAAATTTATTTTAAACAGTAATATATAAGGGAAAACGCGAAAAAAATACAGTGGTAAAGAAGTGCTCTTGACGCAAAATATAACAGCACTTTAACACAACAGAAGCGAAACATTTTTGACAACAAAACCGGTGCATAAAGTGTCGAGAAAGGGAAAGAGAAACACATTACAATTGTTGATATAGATATCGAACGAAAGGCATGTTTACATGTTGATTCGAGTTCGATTTTTTTTCTCTGTTTCTCTTTTTTCACTCTCTCATTTGCATTAAACCGTGCTGCTCAAAAAAACAAATATTATACAATTTGACACAAAGTGAAAACAATAAACTTATTCAAAACGAAACAACACACACACAGAGAGAAAAAACCCACTATACATCGAATGCGGAGAGAGCAAGAGAAATTGGCTGCAGCTTCCAGAGTAAGCGAACGAACTTTTGTGTGTGCATAAATTATTGTCACCCCGTTCAGCTGCCAAGGGACATACATTCTTAAGTTGCGACAAAGCATCCGCATTGAAACATTTTTTTTTATTTATTTATTTTCACGTGCGAGTGTCTATGTCTTTATCTCAGTGCGTTTTTTGAAAATGTGTATATATCGTGCCTTCTGTATATAGAAACATCCAAATCAGTGAATCGATCCGGTTTGCATAATTTGGGTGTAATCAATGTGTGCAAATTCACCTCAGTGAATCAATTTATTTATCAATTAACATTGAACTGAAAACAATAAGAATATTTTTTACATAAGACAACCAAAAATAATAAAATCACATAAATCCACTCAACTATCATTAGAGTACCGAGATACGCCGATTGTGAAACGAATGAGTCAAAAACGTGAATCGATTTTGCACTGGATTAAATTGATGAGAAAATAAGATAGAAGAATAAAAACACTGAACAGAATATACTTCTACATCTATTTTACTGTGTATTTGCGATCCAAAACAAACAAGGACTTCAAACAACCCACAGACTATTTGCAAATGCGTTCGAATGGTAAATGATTAATTTTGCTTTATTTTAACTGGGTAAAATGCCGTTTGGCGCATTAGCGTCAAATCAATAGCACCCGGTATTCTTTTTTTTCTTTTCTAAATCATTAACAATTAGACGATTTTTTGCCCAAAATACAAATTCGGTAAATTTGAAATTAGACATTGATCATCGTGATAACATTTACATACATTTCGCCTGAAAATTTGGTAATTTAGTAAGTTTTTTGGTTTCTTTATGGACTGGTTATTACGACGCGGAATGGAACGGAATTTTGTCATCGAAATTCTTTGTGTCGGTAACTTCAATGTTCCCGGCGAAAACACGAAAATAAACGACAACAACAACAATAAAAAATTTTTCCGAAATTCTCATATAAATGCTTCCGTATAATAACTGTTTGAGATTTAACGCCGTACGAACCGTTATCTTACGCATCGTTTATTGTTGACTCTATCTGAATCCGAACAATATAAACAGTTACGTATATTTATATAAATTGTCTTTATTACTTTTTGCATCTATCTCTCTCTTTTTCTTTCTCATCACCGAAATTTTCATCTTCTCAATTTGTCACGCATTATTCAATGTATACAGAATCTTCAACTGTTTAAATCCAAAAGACGCACGATTTATCAATAATCACTTTCGTACGTCTCTAACTTCATTTTTTTTCTATTATTCATTTAATTGGGCAATTTGAAACGTATCAATTCGAATACCATTCAATATATATACCGTTTCATTATCGAAATACAACAAGAAGAAAGCAATTTCGGTGTGAGGTGTGCATTTATTTATATCGATTTTTCCTTCCCATAATGAGTTCAGAGCACCGAATCTGAAATGAAAAATCGACAAAAAGCAACGGCATCATAGAATGATGTGTAAGAGAGTATGTTATTATTTATCGCCAATTTAAGGCGTATCGAAACACAAATAAAAACATGAACAACATACAATAAACAAACAATTTTTTTTAAATAAATGTTGTAATGCTTGATTTATTTGTTTCGCTCTTTTTTCACGCCGTTTGCAGATCAGAATATTTCGAATGTAAAAGATCGAGCATGTTTTCATGATTTAATCGAATGCACTTACTTTACTGTTCATTTTGTTCGAGCTAATCAAAGATCGAAGTATTCTTTTCTATTGATTTGAGAATGAGGGTTGAGTTTAAAGAAAAAGAATTTCATGAAAATCAGAGAAGACAAAAAAATGATTCATGCAAATGAAAGAAAAACAGAGACATGTTGAATGAAAAACGAGTAACGCTACTTTATTACACATAACGGTCAAACAAATGTTTACGGAGAAAAAAAAATTCGACGATTTCATCTGTTTTTTTTTTTTTTGTTGTTTGTAATTTCTTGTTTGTCATCGCACTGGTTTTTAGCCAGTCTTTTTCTGATTATTTCCATTCGTTTCTCATAAATTCTTGCAAACGTACTTCAACGACAATTCGCGAACGAAAAAAAATAAAAATATAACCGTTTTGAACCAGCACTTCAACGAGCAAATAACTCAACCCAGCGAAAACATAATATTCAAGCAAGAATCTAGTGCGTATATATGAATGGATGTGTGCGTGAAAAAGGAAGATAAAAATGACATTTTTTCAACATTTTTAAAATCACTTTTTTTTTCGTGTTTGCGTTTCATTTTGGCATCATTTCACATAGCTTTTATTTTATGCGTTCGACAAGGAATCGCCGTTTGAAATGTCAAATAATTCCGACGAAGAACAAGATTATATTAAATTCTTTGTAATTTGCCCGAATGTCAAATAAGAATTTGACATATGACACATGGAATTTATTCGGATGGTATGAAAATTTAATACCAATTAATTTATTTAAAAGCCGATGCGATGGGATTTATACCGATGCGATGGGATTTATTCATTTTGCAAATATTTAGCGTGAAATGAGGCGAGCTTCAACGAAATAATGCAAATAGACTTATGGATATGCAATTTCCAAAAGCAATAAAAATGTCGGTCGATGTGGCATCGTCAAATATTCATATGACAAAATGAAATACACTTCAGCCGGCATCGATTGTTTCGCTGGAAGCGAAATATCCTACATATCGTTTCGACGAAAATTCAATTGTCGTATTCATGTGAACGGATGAGTAAGCGAGTTGCAGTGTGTGTGTGAGAGAGAGTTTGTATGTGACCCGGTGACCGATTGATAAACATGCCGCATATGATGCTCTTCCTTATAGAATTTGTCTTGTTTTGGTTGGATTTTTTGTTTCGTCATTAATGCGCATGCGTTGTTGACAAAGTTCATCCATGCCATAACAACCCACTCGGTGTAAAATGTTATGGTTCGGTTTTTTTTCTTTTTGTCATTGCAAATGTGCAACGGAATCTATTATCTCTCGGTTTTTTTAGCTTTTCACCAATCGACCAAGTGGCTAAGAATTCCATGCACATATTGCTTACACAGAACTTTTTTTTTCTCTTCTAATTGTTCGTGTTAATATGTTGTTGTGTTTGCCGCTGCTGTATTTTTGCATAACAAAAGAACTTCAACTGACCTCTTGAGCAAGTTTTTTTTTTGTGAAACACTAATCGTGCAACGAGGTACGTTCATTGAGAATTTTTTCTTTCTCTTTCTCTCTAGCATTCTCTTTCATTTAAACCAATTCAACTTTTTTTTTCTATTGCAACATACATATACACATTTCCAAGTTAACAGAGTGCAACGGACATGAACGAATTTATGCAAATTAAGTCTAAATAATTTGCTTTAATTAGTGGCTCACAAATTAAATATAAGAATGCTCAACCCGAAAAAGAGTTCTTCTTTTCGTGTGCTCGTTGTGATTTAATTATTGTGTTACAACGAAGTTGACACGAGTTCAAAAGATGTTGAATTTTGGTGAGATAGAGAGATCAGAAAGAAATGTGCATTTATCGAACAGATGGTGAAGCTTTTGAATGTGTATCGAGTGAGAAGAGAGAGAGAGAAAACTAGGGAAAATATGCATGAAATAATTTATGGTGTGTTCATTGCACCAGACAACAAATGTATACGGGGCAATGAAATGCCGATACAAACGTAAGCAGCAATACATAGCCCAGAACACCGTTCTTTTTATTCGCTCTTTTTCTTCATTTGTTTATTGGCGAGAGAGAAAAAAGTAAACGGTATTATTCTCTATTTTATTTCGATTGCAATTGCGAAATGTGCATGCTTAAATACGTGCGTGTGGTTTGTGCTATTTTTTTCTAATTGCATTGCCTTCTTATACTCCGCCATAATTTTTGTTTCTCTTTCTCTCTCTGTCTTCCGTTTATCGTTTGTTTCCTGAGCAATTTTCTCTTTCGATCCAATGTTCATTAGCTTGAATGTCATAGTACAAATGTGTAATGTTGAACTGCTGAGTCATCTTCACTCGGTATGTGGTGCGCATTTTTCCACGCTGAAACAAACGATATAGATAAACGGGAAAGGGTATAAAAAAAAGCATTTTCGTGTGCGTGTCTTTATTTCGGGAAAGCATATGAATTATTGTAAAAACAGGCCACAGAAGAAGTTCACCACATTCTGTGAATAAGTTGAAAACAAAAAACTCGGTGTGTGTGTTTTTCCACAAAAGTTGGTTACTTTGTTCTATCACATTCCCGGTTTTCCATCATCATCATCTTCGTACAATTTTTTTTTTTTTGCCTCATTATGCACAATTTTTGTTTTTGTATTCACTCTGTTCACTTCTTCATTTGCAAGTAGCTGATTCTTTTTTCTTCATTGCGTGTTGCAATAATTACCCACACTCTTTTGCATTACATGCGATTCACTCATTTTTATATGTGTCATGCGTACAAAGCAGCAAAAACCAAGCAAATAGCAGAAGCGAAGAAAAAGAAGAAGAAGAAAAAAACGGCACAGAGAGCCAGTGCGTTATGTGTTGTGTGGTGTGTCTGTATGTGTATGGATTATGTGCAAACCTTGTACAAACAAATCAATGCACCTCAAAGAGATACAAACATCAATGCATACAGTAAATACAGTATGTATAGTATGCTGCTTACACTACTAGACATTAGATGAAGAGAAAAAAATATAGGTGCGCACACGAACATGAAACAAAGAAAAGAAGAAATAAAATACAGAGAGAAGAATTGACGGGGGATAGAACGTTGCGAATGCAATTGCAAATAACAGAAAAAAGAAAAACGAACGGTGTCTCGAAGGTACCGCAGCAATATCGTATGTTTTTAGGCACCTTTTAAAGTGGCCTGACTTACACAGACTTGAAGAGAGAGAGAGAGAGTCCGCCACGAGATACAGCTATGAAATTCTATTGCTTGTTTTTTTTTCACTTCAACTTCTTGAAAATCTTTATTTTCTTCTTCGGTATATCATTTTGCCACACTTTGTTTGTGAGAAATATTACATGGCAAAACGCAATGCACAAAAAACACTATATGACACGGGCTACAATGTTTTATACTCCCTCTCCCTCTCTTCTGTCTTCTGCTTCCAATAAATCGGGAGAGAATATTAATAGTGAAATGCATTACGTTCGGCATACCATCGTGTAAAAGGCTAATAGAATGGCGCATTTCGGATATACTTAATGACAGTTATAATAAGAGCGAAACACACTCATCATACATCGACACATTTGACATCGCGAAGCTCCAATCCGAAATATCATAATATAACAACAACACAAATACACACGAGGCGCTCACAGAGAATGATATGTTTTGCAATATGAAAAGCCCGCTCTATTACGGTGTGACAGCGATGACTCTAGAATTATTATTATGTATTTAAAAAAAAGCATGTAACCGATGATGCATATTTTTCATTAGTACCAACTCATACACCATGTTCGAAATGCAACGTTTATTTTCCATGTGCATGAGAGAAACGGTTGCTTGTTCGTTCAGTCGGTCGGTTGGTCGGTGAGCTTGGTAAAGAGTGCGCGTTTGCCTCTTACATAATCCTTGTGTAAAGATATCTTGCTGTTGGATTTTTGTT